TGAACAATCTACTTTGGAGATGTTTGCCCTTACTCATTGACGTAGAATGTAAAACTTAATAACAAATTTGTGTCGTATTTTCTTCTTTTTGGTAATATCCACCCATGAATCACAAAAATTTAGTTGTTCAATAAAAATAGTTCCAGCCCGGTGTAACCTAAAAATAACAACTTTAGGAGAGCAAAAATAACGGTGGGCCTTTGGAGTCGCCATCGAATGATCTTATAATACTCCATGTTTGTCTAGTCGCAAATGAAACCTCATAAGCTAATAGTGCCTACTGATGACATTCCGGACAACACGGTGGCTTTTTCAAGAAAATACATAAGTTATTTTTTGCGATTCGTGGTGTTACAACTTAAGCGACGATGTCTCAAATTCCAAATATGTTAGGATGACAAGAGTCGCCTTTACATCATTAGCGGAGCATCGAATTATTAGCACCCCACTTCCTGCTAGTTTCGCGACACGTAAATTAATACAGTGTTCTGCGCTCAACTACCTTCAGGTGACCTTCATTACCTGGCTGTTTACCTTCTTGCTGACTACCTGCTATTTCACAGACACCACAGTTTAACTGCATGTAGGATTTTGGATACCACAACGTAATTTCAAATACCTCGCCAAAAACTGTGTTAAGGATGGAGTGACGCTACTCTTCTATAGTCCATATCATTTCGCCACTACCTAAATGCTTATTGAAACACCTTAGGCGCTAATGTGACGTTGCAATTCAGTATATTTGGAGGGCAAAAGATGAAGGAAGTATGAGCAACTTCGATAGCTTATTTTTGTACACGACCTCGAAAAAAAATTAAGGTGCATTAATAAATTCTATTATACATTGTATGCAATTCATGACTTTTATATTAAAAAACGTTGCTTTTTACATAGTTGTAGCAATGTACCATTGAAATTCACAAAGATATACTTATCGGGGTAAATACTGAAACCACTGGTTAAAAGGATACCTGCCGAGTCCACGTAAGACTGATGCATTCCTGGCTTGAGCAGGCCAAATCGTGATAGTTTCCAAACATCATTTGACTTCCTACGCATTGATGAAGGTCAAAGTTTGAAATGGTTATATTTCCAGAAAAATGTGCAATTATTAGGAGAGGGAGACACATTTTTCACAAACCACTAAAAACGTGCTTTTATGCGTCTATACAAAATTTTGGTGGCTCGTTTCATGAAAACATGTTATAATGTATATTTAGCAATACAAAGAGTATTCGAATATTGTTATACTAGTTATGAATACAGAGATTTGTTGATGACTGTAGTGACAGTAGGGAATGGAGCACGTCAGGGGAGTACTCGTATAGGTACATTTTGCTAATTTTCAGGAACATTGTGTCTACATCTTCATGCTTACCTCAATATCGTCATATTTTCTTGAAGAACAATTACCCACTCTGCTGGAAGATCTTCCAGTACAAACACGCATGAATATATGGCTTATGCACGACGGCGCTCCACCTCATTTTAGTATATTAGTTAGAGAGCACCGAAATAGAGTTTATCCAGACCAGTGGATGGGCCAATCAGGAGCTATATCGTGGCCGGCTGAATCACCAGATTTAAATCCTATGGATTTCTTCTTCTGGGGTGATTTAAAACGACACGTTTACGATATGCCAGTGGAAACTGTAGATGATCTTCGATAAAGAACTTTCCACCATAGCCAGGAAATGAAAAATAACATCCAAATGCTTTGGAGAGTGCAGCAAGGATTAGTTCGTCGAGCTTGAGAGTCTGTTAGGCAAGGTCCTGCTCATATTGAACATTTTTTGTACTTATTATTTCGGTTTATTAGTTTTGTTGCCATCCTCACTTTATGTTATAAAAATGTTTTATCATCATGGTACAAAAATAATGCATTGGAACTTTTAAAAACAAATATCTCGAAAACAATTAGCTTTAGGAACTTCTAACAAGTAAATCTTTTTTGTTGTAGAAATACGAGAAAATAAGATTTTTCGGTCAGTTGTTGTATACAGGGTAGTACAAAAAAGTTATGCTGTTAAAAAGTTACGGATTCTTGTTTCTTACGCTAGAAAACCTCCATATACCCAGTTTTATGCCAAAATCTGAAATACTTCTAAAGCAATAAGGAAAAATAGAGAATAAAATTGTAACTTTGACACCCTGTAACTTGCAAACTATCAACTTTTGGACTAAGATATGTTTAGGTCAATTCACATATTTTATTTCCAGTTACGAGCTTTCCCAACCTTTCACAGACAGTATATACACTACTCATAATTAAGTTGCCTTGAAATTCTTTGGGATGAAGGCAAACTTTTTTGCAAAAGTACACTCTTTTAACTTAGACTCAATATTTCGACGGTCTATGCCATCATCATCGGGAGTAAGTCGGCGAGATTGTTGCTGAAATTGTTCTTAGAAAGAAGAGGCATCCGCCGTGTATCGGATGCCATTTGACCAGAGCTTGTTCAGTGGCATATTATGATTGTGTGAGTTCGAAAAAACAAAAATTAGAAGGACGTTAATTGACACAGAAATTTTCAATGTGTATTTTAGTGCTAGAGTGTATAGCCTACATGGCGGTGGGCTAGGACGGAGTATTTGCATAACTATACTTCCTGCGGCTAAGGTGGAATCGACAAACACTGGCAACCACGTAGTTGTCTCTAGTTTCATTCTTAGGTCAATGTGGTATCTATATACTCTTTGCGCTTACCGTTCAGTTGAATCATTCCTAAGCAATATGATACATAATATCGTGTTAGAAAAGCGCCGCAATCTGAGTTTCTCTCACTGTAGCGAGTTGGAATCAGGTTTAAGGAAAAGGGGTAATACGTGATTTGACGCTAAACCACAACTCGTAATTCTTTTGAACTCGTAAAACGGAATACTTGAAAAAATCTATACTATATTCTATTTCACGGACCGAAGCTGTGGGTATCCTCTTTTATAAGGAGGGTTAATGTATGAGCAGACTTAGAGGGGTCGTGGCGGGCGTCAAAGGCTGCCATTTTTTCCATAAAATGGTACATATTGCCGTACCATTTGCGAACATATCCCCGCTCCTCAATTTTTAATCACCGGTACAACCCTGGACATGAATTCTGACCACAACTCTGGACCCTCCTTGACAGATCTGGTTTAAAAATTGATATTACATAGAAAAACTCTTAAAGAGTCCTGTCGATCAATCATTAGATCAATACTCTTAAATATTTTTTATAAAGCATTTTTATCGGATTTGAAAAAAATAATTACTCACTTTTTGTTAAGCTTGACGGTTCAATATTTCGAAGTCGTCGCTACTTAGGACGATCTTTTGCACATTACCTTTGGCAAATCTAGTAAGATAAACACGATCCATCGTTGGTCGAGGTATGAATCACAACTCCAAAATTAACCAACGCCCGTTGTTCTGAAATCGATAGATGTTTTTTCATTATCTCAAAGTTTTGGTACTATTTTAGAACAGAGCATGAAAGGTTTTTATTTTGGCGAGCCGGATCGGTTACTCGAAAAAGCTTACGGTCACTCTCGCTCTAGAATGGTATATTTTCGTTTCGTTTATACGAATTTTGCTGATGTTCAAATATAATTTATGAAATTTATAAATAAATTAATGACATCGAAAAAAGCTTTTATGAATTTTACCTCTGCCTTCAACAGCCTGTACCACTCCAGCAATAACTACATTTGTTTTAACTGCAGCAGTAAAAGCTTAAGCTTAAATCTACTGCAAAAGGTTGCATATCACAGGAAACGTTTAGCAGATGCCCGTTTTGAAGAAAATTCCCTATTTTTTAAATACTATAAATACAGTAGAATCCTGAATCAAAATTATGTTCGAAAACGGTGCATTACAGACAAAAAGCATGTAATTTCTTATGACGAACTTTTTGTATTAGTGTCATTGCCAAGTTTTTACAAATTTGACCCACTCTTCCCATTTGGTCGCAGTATGTTGTTTCCAATTGCAGGAATAGGCGGACGATAAGAACTTTTCACATTCCGTATCCGGTTTTGAATAATCATGCTTTTACTTTTACATTTTTTGTATAAAAGTCTTGATCGCATTGTTGGGATACTGATGCGATATACTTCAAACTGCTATTATGATGAAGCTTTCTATTGATATTCTTGGGGCGATCTCATTGTTCAAAAATATATGCTCCATTCGCCTCTCTTACGTTGGTCATCAAATAGAATCACATATGTTGAATAGACTAGTTAGTGATGTCTCGGTTGCTTCGGTAGCCTCTATCAAAGAGCGAATCAAAATAATTACAAATGAATATACAGTGCTTTTCAAAAGAGACTCTACCCCTACTTATTTTTTGAGAGGGTCAAGTCAGAAAGCCGAAATTTAGGATAATGAAATTCACGAATGAATACTATATTTACTATATTTTGCATTATATTTTAAATGGAATGAGAGGGCGTTTTTCTTTCATTTAGGTGTCAGCTTCTGGAAGTAGCTTTTTACATAAATGATATTCAGAAGGCATTGAGCAAGATTACAATCAACAGAATTTATTTTTGTTATATTCTGGACTATTACTTTAGTATACAGTAAAATACCGATATCTGACAACTTTTTCCATATACTACAACAGCTTCTCTGTCTAACGGTAGTGAATTTGTCTGCGATTTATTTATTTTTTTTAGAATCTTTGTACATTCGCGACATTCTGTTTTTTAAATATGTTTATCAAATAGAAAGTTAAGACGTTTTGAACTGATAATACCCAATCATGTTGCACAGGTTATAGTTCACGACTATTATGTACCTGTCGCAAGTAGATTAGAGGCTACAATAACAAAGTTTTGGATAAGTTGTGGAAAAATTGCAATTCAGGTATTTTACTCAAATTTGAGTGGTGTTTTTGAAAACAGATAAAGTTCAAGTTGAGTATATATTCCAAAACAGGTGTGCTATAATAACAATTTTCTAGAAATTCAGAGATTCCGCTGAAGAAACAAAACTATTGATATCGATTGTTTGATAGTTGATCGATGATCTATTCAAAATATGTTAAATGAAATTGAGTACAAAACTATTTGTATGGAGTTCTACCGAGTTATATTTAGTGCAGTCAATGCTTATTTTTCTAAAAATAAATCATACATATCAGTGGCGGCTCGTGGCAAAATAAAACAGGTGTTCTGCAAATCCTAACTAACCTATTTTTTAGGTCAGTTCGATCCTGCGCTGCTTCTTCTTGGCAGCAAATTTGTCGATCACCTTCCTGTTGAAATTTTCCATGGTCGAAATAAATTCCTTTTCAATGGACAGCATCGACAACGCTGTAAGGCGATCCTGGGTCATAGTATTACGAAGAAAAGTCTTGATTCTTTTCAATGTTGAGAAATTTCGCTCAGCCTCTGATGTTGACATAGGAGTTGTAACAATAATTTCTAATAGCTTTTTAGTTTCTTTTACTGTTTCCTCCAAACTATTTTGTATCAAAAATTTCAAAAGAGACAGAGTTCCATGTAAATCTCGGCAACCATTACGTGCATAAATAACAGACAACTCTATCTTTAAACGACTTTTTTCTAATTCGGGATAAGCCAAGCAGGTAGTTTCCAACTGGTCATCAGGAAACTTACCACAGTATTCTCCAAAGTGTTCGGGGAAAAAAATTGATGCGGCTACCAAATGATCTTTGAATTGAAATCTCTCATTTGCAGAATTCACTATATTGTCGCATACTTCTAATGCGGCAACTCGGTGATCGTGACTGCTATTATTACGTCGTCTCCTTTTGTTGCCTTGGGGTTCAGTGCAAATACTTTTGGCTTCATTTATTATGTCATCAATTTTATTTCTCACATCGACAATACATTTTTCAAAATTATCGATAGCCGTTTTAATTTGCGCTGGCTCGGTTTTTCTTTTCTGCAATTTGTTGAACATGACATATGACATGATGAAACACGAAATAGAGTCGTTTGACATACGGCGAATACCGCAAGCTGCCTTGCAAACGGTTTCATTAGTGAAATTTTCTTCTATTTCTTCCATGAGTGATTCTCTGTTCTCAAACACTACATTTATTGTTCGTATATTAAAATTCCAACGAGTTGTTACTCCTTGTGGAATTTTTTTCCCCACAATTCTGTTCAGTACTTCAACGCGTTGAGGAGAATTATTAAAAAATCCCGGAATATCTTTCAAATCCCCAAAGAACACCCGAACTTAAGCATTTGCGGAAGCAGCTTGGGACATAATCAGGTTTAACTGATGCGCATAGCAATGCACATAGTGAGCAAATGGATATCTTTGTTTAATTTTTGCCTGTACTCCAGCATTATGTCCGCTCATTACCGCGGCTCCATCTTGGCTTTGTGAAATCAGTTTGTTAGGGAAATTTCCTATTAACGACGCTCAAAATATGTCTTGTGAGAGTTGATACTCTCACGCTGATGCGTCACATTTTTCGGGATTCATATGATTCCAAAAACGTTCTACTGGTGCGCCGTTAAATACGTATCTGAAAATTGTTACCAGTTGGGTTTTCCCTGAAATGTCCGTTGTTTCATCTGCTATTATCGCCAAATACGAGGCTCTGTTAATCTGTTTTATTATTTCTTCATGACAAACTTCAAGAATGCAATCCAGTAGATCGTTTTGTATTTCTTTCGAATTTCCTTTAAATATTGAAGCATTTTTTATGTGTTCGCTTAACGTTGTATCAAGCTCAGCAGAAAAATTAATCAGTCCACGAAATATTCCCGGGTTTTGGGAGCTCTCGGTTTCGTCGTGGCCCCGTAGCGCCAATTCAAATGCTCCGCAAAATTTTATACAATCGATTATTTTTGTTAGAACGTACCTGTTTTTTGTAACGGTATCATTATGCTGTTGTATATTTCTCCAATATGCTGAATCTAACTGAGCTCTGATGTTAATTGTCCCCAATAAAGCCAATTCCATCGATTTATGGAGATGTGTTTTAGAGTTTTCATGCTTCTTAATTTTTTCACTCAGGTGCACTAAATCTGTAACATCTACCTGCGTTCAAGCTTTGTCACCCCCGAAAGGTATGCAAGGAAAGCAGAAAAGGGCATTCTTCCTGTTGCACCCACAAATCCAGTCATTTCTGATGTAAATCTCCCTGCTGAAATGCCGCGTATAGCTCTTGCCCCGACTAACGCCCTGTGTTTCTATAAATATGTCCGGCAGCGGTCGACCTGACACCTTCAGCTCAATTTTTTCTTCAAATGTGTATTTCCAGAATCGTTTCACGCTGATAAGTCTGTAAACCACATCCATTGTCTTGCTACCCTTCTACACAGCCACAGTCAGTCAGTGAGTCACTAGTCACTCAACGTAAGACCCAAAATACCTGAATAAATAATTTTTCGCATTCAAATTTTAAGCCTCGTCACAGGACGAGACCAATATGCCAAAACTGAGGACCGAGCACCGACCGACCAATCAGATATCGTACTTCGCATTAGATCTGTACGGATCTGCATAAATTGCAGCACATGCTTATGCTTAAATCGCGCATTTGATTTTGTAGAGAGAGACAAAAGCAAGCGCGTTGCACATCTTAAGTTTCTTGGATATGTTAATAGTAGGCAGATATTGATCTGTACGCCATCTGCGGAGACTTCCCAATTCTCTTAGACGTTGAAGATTCTTTATGTTGACATCTTCCCTTAATATAAAAATGTAATGAAGGGTATTAGGGTGTAATATAGGAAAGCGTAAAACCGAAGATTGCTGTCTGTTGGGATCACTCTGTATATTTAAATGTCAGTATATGTTAATGAGGGTGTATATTCTAAAAAATTCAACTTAATGCACACATTTCACATTGTATTTAATAACTGAGTGAGATCTGATATGTAAAAATACAACTCTCGGGGTTTTCAAGACTTTTTACTGTGGATTGATTACTCGTGTGATTATAGCGTGAAATATTTTCATCTATAATTCAGCATAATATTTTTTTTAATCTACTCAGGCGCCATCTTGAAAGTTTTGGATGTTATATTTATGTTAAAATATAGTAACCATGCGTCAATTCCAAAATCCAGAACGTGGTGCTTTATATCACCACCTTAGCTAATTTTGCGAAATCAACTATTTTGTCCAGGATGGACTTTGTTTAAACTTAGCAATGATGACAATTGGATTGGAAGTGATATCTGATCCTCCAAAATTAATCTTTGTATTAAATTAGAAACATGAGGCTCATTTCCTGTGCATTCAAAGAAAATATGATTTAAATCTGCTACTTTGGTGTTGTCACACTCGCATCAGTTATAATCAATGATTCCCATTCTGTAGAGGTGGTCTCCGAATCTACCATGATTTAGCCTCAATCTCGTTATTAGGGTAGAGTAAAATCTTCCGACTTGATAATCGAAAATGTGTGACGACCTGACTGGTAAAAAAGGATTGATTATTGCATACGGGTTTCTAGAATTACTACAATACATGCTCCATCACTGTTTCCATGAGGCTAGCATATTATTTTTGAAATTATTATTTATATCATTTATTGAAACATAGTTTTTGTACTCAGTAGTTTCTACTAAACAAGCTTCTCTGGCCGCCTTGTCAGCTATCTCATTACCGCGTATTCCTGAGTGTGCTTTCGACCAGACAAAATTAACTTTTATACCTTTCTTTGTCAACTCGCACAGGGTAGCCCTTATTTGCAATAAGATTTCACTATTGAAACGTTTAATAGCTGACCCTTCTAAGCTATTAAGCACCGACTGAGAATCTGAAATTATGGCGACACTGGTAAGCTCTTTTATATTAATCTTCATCCAGTCCAGAGTAGATTTTATAGCTAATGATTCCGCTGTAAAGATTGAACAGATTTCCGGGATACAAAACCGGCGAATGATATTATGAAATGGACTAAAGATAAAGTATGCATAGTCAGTGCCATTTGAACTTTTAGATCCGTCTGTATATATATGAATAGCAGATTCATTGCTTCTTAGTACACTAAATAGTATGAAGTTATGTAGAGAGGTGTGTTCAGTATAGTTTGGGAAGGTTACTTCGAATTTAGATGTAATGACTTCAAGAGGATGTTCAAAAATTGGAAGCTTTCTTGAATAAATGAAATATTGTTGGAATTTGCTGGTATCAGTGAAGGCAGTTACAAATAATGGAGATTTTTTGTGTCGCCAGTATGGATGACAAAGGTCATTAACACTGGCCACTGATATTTTTCCAGTAAGGAGTGTATTAGATGCTCTGTATTTAATTAATAACTTATGCGCCAAGTATTTACGTCTGATATCCAAAGGAGGTTCATTACATTCTGCTAGTAGGGCAGGACATGGAGATGACCTCATTGCAACGACACTGATACGCAATGCCTTAAATTTTATCCTATCTAAAGTTTTTAAAAGTGTATTTGCTGCAGAATCATAGAGTACACATCCATAGTCCAGAATAGACCTAATGTAGGACCTGTAGAACTGAAGAGAAATACAAGGATCCGCTCCCCATTTCGATTTTGTGATGAACCGAAGCATGTTCAGTTCTTTTTCACAACGATCCTTTATGTAGTGAATGTATTTATTCCACAATAGCTTAGAATCTAAGAAAACTCCTAAGTACTTGATGTGGTCAAGCACTCGAAAGCTGATGTCTCGGATTTTTAACTCGGTGCCTACGTTGTTTAACCTGCGTCGTGCGAAAAACATGAAAGCAGATTTTTCCGCAGACATGATGAGTCCCATTTCTCTAAGCCAATTTTCAACACAATACACTACGTACTTCAGTTTTCTGATACATTGCTCTACTGAACCATGGCTTGTGTATATGCAAATGTCATCCGCGTATTGAATAACATTGATGTCATCGTCCATTAAATCGTGCAATCCAGCAGTGTATATATTGAATAATATAGGTGAAAGAATTGATCCTTGAGGAATACCATTAGTGACAATATGTGGTCCATACAGTTCATTTCTATGATTACGTATAAAAATTTTTCTATTCGCATAGAGATCTATAACAGATGCAGCAGCTCCCTCACTGATACCTAGAAGTTTAACTTTATCGAAAAGGGTAGGCACCTTTTATATCCAGGAATAGACAGGAGGTGTATTTTTTCTGGGAAAAGCTGACATAGATATCAGATGTGAGGTGGACTAAGGCATCCATGGCTCCATGGCCTTTTCTGAAGCCATATTGAGTTCTAGGTAGCAATGAATAGTATTCAAGGAACCATTCTAGGCGGGTCTTAATCATCCTTTCAAATGTTTTTGTGAGACAAGACATAAGAGAGATCGGCCTATATGAATCAATCATATCCGGATTTATAATTGGATTTTAGAATGAGACATATGACTATCTCTCGCATGTTCTCCACAAAATCCTTCTTTATCCACCAATTGTTTTATATTTCTAAAAGAAGAATTTTCGCAGATTGTGGCCAAGCATTAATAATTATTATCTTATAAGTAA